CAGTATCATTTCGGCTTTGGAGGACAATTCATTTGATTTTTAAATATGAGAACCACATAGTGGCCAACGATTTAGGGTGCCCATCTTTATTTGTTTAGGGAACTCATTTGAGATCCCAGTTTACTTTTCTTATTATTCCCTTTTTTCCTCCTCTAGTGTGTGGTATGTTTCTTTCTGTTGCGTTTGGGGATGTGGGTCTGTGAACTATGCTATATATCATCAAGTCGTCTAGACAGCTTTTCTGCCTCGTTCTTTAACTGAGGAGCTGAGTTAAGGGAAGACCTGATCACTGGCTTGTGTATGCTAAAAAATGTACTCTCTGTGTTACAGTTTGCACTCATTGGGATTGCACTTGTTTGACTTTGCTGTTTGTTGATATGCCAAGGCATAATTTTCACTGCCTTTCACTTTGATGTCTTGAAATGAAGTATAGAATATCCATCCATTTTCAAAGTCTGAGGGGATCGTAACCTTATTTTGGACTATGTACATTATGCATTATGGCCATTACTCTGGATTTGTATTAGATTGTTAAATAAAACAGAGAAACAGAAGCTGGATAGCAGAACTTCTGCTGCTTATGTGGGGTATAAAGCGTGAAATATTTGCAGTTTGTATAATCCTTGCCACCTTATTGATACACTCATGCAGGTGGTCGTTGGGTGTAATTATGTATGAAATGCTTATTGGCTACCCTCCATTTTACTCCGATGAACCAGTGACCACTTGCAGGAAGGTACCATGCTCGTTATGTATATTCTTAATTTTCTTTTGTCTTTTCCCCTTATACTTCTAATATTACATTGCTTCTAGTCTGGTGTTATCGATTACCATTTCGAACTGTTCTTTCATCATTATGTTAGAATGCCAGCAACTGGACCATTTTATATGTACATTTAACTGGATAAAGTTGAACCTTTTGGACATAGACATAGTTATGTTACCTTGTTCAGAATGCCCATGACATTACATGATTTTCAGAAAATTTAGGTTTACTGCTGACCAGTCTACTCATCCAGTGCTTTGCCTTGTTAATTGGAATTGTGGAACATATGCTTCAGACCCATTTATCCTGTCTAGCTTTCTGTCTAGTCTTGATTGTTGAGTATATTGATTAATCTTACAATACTTAACCTCATAACAGTAACTTATATAGTGAATAACAAGTCATTTCTGCAGAGATGTCCAGTCATCACAACAGAGCATTCTATTGATACAATATTTTGTAAAACTGTGCAAGAGTAATTGCAGGAGTATGAGAGCAAAAAATGGTTTCATCCATGTTGTAAGAGTTAACTTGGTTTTCCTTTTTTCTTTTTTCTTTTTTCTTTTTTGGTTCCTCGTACATAACCTGTCAGTATGTCTATTGAAAATGAAAAGTAGAAAAGATAAAGAAACACTGCCAGTGCATAGCTGATTACATTGATGCAATGATTTTCTGATAAAGTACATTCATGATGGCCAGATAGTTCATTGGAGAAATCACCTGAAGTTTCCTGAAGATGCCAAATTAAGTCTCGAGGCAAAAGATTTGATCTGTCAATTACTCTGTGATGTGGAACATAGGCTTGGTACTGGAGGAGCAGGGCAGATCAAGGTATGGTTTTACACAAACTAGACATTTCGCTCTCGCTCTCAACTCATTTTCATTACAAAACAAACGTGTGTAGGCCCATCCTTGGTTTAACGATATTGAATGGGATAAGCTATATGAAATGGAAGCAGCATTTAAACCAATGGTTAACGGGGAGCTGGACACCCAAAACTTTACGAAGTTTGATGACGTAAGCATAGATCTCTTTATTTCTTTCTTATGTCATGTCATATTCTCTACACTACCGAAATTACTGGAAATTTGTCAACTTGAAGTACCTACGACCAATGTGTTTTTCTTGGCAATAGCTTCAGACT